TTTCTGTACTGCCTCTTGGCCGCTGTGATGGCTTTCATCAGCCTGTACTTCGCAGCTTTGTACTCCGTCTCATCGCCTGATCTGAATGAATGAGAGCAAGCACGCAGTATGTGGCGTACCTGACTATTTATCCAGGGCTTCTGGTTGGGGAACCTCCTGACTTGTATGGTGGGCACAGTGTTGTCGATACAGGTACTAATGTATCCAGTCACATACTCAGCATAGTCCTGTACGCTGACAGAAAAGTCCTCTGAGGTGGCTGCAGCTTTAAACACATCCCAGTCTGTCTGGGCGAAACAGTCCTGCAGGATGCCTTCAGTCTCTGGGGTCCAGAGTTTAATTTGTTTGGTGACAGGGTTTGTTTGTTTCAGTCTTTGTCTGTAAGCTGGATACAGGAACAAAGAAATGTGGTCTGAGCGTCCAAGGTGGGGGCGGGGTGCAGCCCTGTATGCACCACGTATGTTACTGTAAACATGATCCAGAGTGTTCTTGCCCCGAGTGGGAATGTTCACATGTTGGTAATATTTGGGGAGTACAGTCTCTAAATTGCACTGGTTAAAGTCGCCTGCAGCGATAAATACAGCATCGAGGTGAGCTGTCTCTAGTGCGTTGATGACATCATAGAGAGCCTACACTCGCTTTGAGACCTCCAGCCACAGCACAGAGAGGAGGCACACACACCACCCAACCCCCCACCTCCCCTCTACTGTCTTGCAAGGCCAGGTACGCACAGTCCTGAGGAAGATCAACCCCTGCAAAGCAACAGGACCAGACAACATCCCTGGGAGGGCTCTCAGGGCATGTGCCAGCGAGCTGGCTGATGTTCATTGTTCCCACCTGCTTTAAGATGGTGGTTGTCCTCATTGTTGTTGCTGTTGCTGTTGCGGGAGCGGACAATGAGTTGTAGCTCCGGTGGTATGAAACCAGTAAATTCCCAGTGGCTTTGTGAGTTGGCGATACCCAGCAATGCCTGTCTGTTGTATGTTAGCAGTGCATGACATTTGTGCACTGCAGAAAAAGTAAAAAACACGCAAAAAAGAAATAAATGAAGAAAAAGCCAGCATTCGAGAGTGGAACGCGCAAACACGTCTGTCTCGGTGGGCGCCATGTTTACAATCCAATCTGGGGTTGTGGACATGCGAAGTGTACCACCGGTCAGTCAGTGCAGGTAGACTGGAACGCCAACGTCTACGCATTCAGCCTCAATGCTTTTTTGTGTTTGTGTGTGGCTGTTTTGAATGAGTTACCTGTTTTCTCCCTGTGCTCCCAGTTCCAACAACAAGCCCACTAACTGCTGCAGCTCAGCTTACACATCACAAGGTTACAGGAGGCGTGATGGAAACGTGTCACTCGGACTAGGAGTTAAAGGACATAGCCCCTGATTTTCTCTGTTTGTGTTATGCAGAAAGCCCATCTATAGAACATGGTGTATGCTGCCTAATGTGTGTGAGTGTAAACAGAGCAGAGATCACTGACTCTGTCTTACTGAAGACTCTCTACAAAATGATGGAGTTGTTTATTTCCTAATGTGTGACAATGACCACTAAACCACTTTTGAGAAATGATTCACCACAGTTTTGCAGCTGTATGTTGGAGCTGACGTTTCAGCGACTGAGCTGTTTTCTCTCTGTTTCTGTTTGCAGGTGCAGGTTGTAATGGGTACAGCAAAGCAGTGGATGGGGAGGGTGGAGGAGGAGAGGAGGAGGAGGAGGCACAAGGAAGAGGAGGAGGTGAGCACAGGGGCACAGAGTGGGATGAAGAGCTGGATGGAGAGAATGAGGGAGGTGTGAGGATGACGAGAACCGACACGTTTCACTCAACCACAAGTTCAACGGGCACGCAGAAGAAGAGAGGACAACATGCCAAGAAACAGGTGAGACAACAGGCTACGGAGCAGGTGAGACAGGATAATGATGATAAACGATGATGAAAAAGTTACTGAGGATGATGCTGCTCTTCCTCCTCAGGTGCAGGGCAGTAACCAGGTGCAGCGAGCTCCTCGAGCATTGTTCTGTCTGAAGCTCAACAACCCCATCAGACAAGCCGCTCTCCAAATGGTCGAGTGGAAGTATCCTCTAATCTGTCCAGTTAGCTGCAGCTTTACGGCGGCGTGCTGGACTCAGAGGCTTGGTGGGAGGGGCTGGTGTGTACAGGTGTGGTACGCACAGCAGGATGTTGGTTACTGTAGTGTGGCTGCTGCATCGGTTTGTGCCAGGACCCGGTCTGACCTGAACACACACACACAAGTGTTACACTTTCCAAGGATGTCATTATGTCTGATGACCACCAAGTATAAACTCCCATGACCCGGTTAGAAGTTGTAGAGCATAGAGAGACCCTGTCTGAGAAGCCTCCTGGTTTTATGTGTCCTCAGTCTCAGTGATCCAGTGAGTGGACATCCATGGGGATGTTCAGCACACAGGCCTTCAAAATGTAAAGAAATATCAGCTGGGAAAAGTGGCTGGGTTTGTGTAGTATTACCTTATTAATTATGCTGATATTTAAACTTGTACCGAATGTCTGTACATGCTGTGTCCTTATAAATATAGGAAGGAGCAGACTACTCTGCTGGGTTGTCTTCTACTGACTGACACACAAGACAGTGAAACTGCTTTTATTTTGTTGGACCATGTTGAGCTCTTTAACCTGTCTGTCAGACCTTTTGACATCTTCATCCTGTTAGCCATATTTGCTAACTGTGTGGCTCTGGGAGTCTCCAAACCGTTTCCTGAGGATGACTCCAACTCTACCAACCATGACCTGGTGAGACCCTGCCACACAGCTACACACACAAAGCTGTAAATGACTGAATATCTTAGGTATCTTAAAGTTTGTCCTGAGGGTGGCGCTAAAGGAAAGATCATGGAGTCACTGGAATCTAAAGGGTTCATCTTCAGGAGAGTAGGGCCATACAGAGCATGCCTCATGCAGCTCTGGCCTGAGCTGTGTTTGATTTGATTTTGATTTGATTTGATTTATTCTTTCAAACATGCAGAACAGAACAAATGACAGCAACACACACATAATTACACAAATCCAACCAATGCTAATCCAAAATCAGTTTGCTTACACCTAGTACATGTTTGAATGGAGTAGGAAGAAGTCAGACTTATCCAGTCCTACCCCAT